GATAGTCACAGTATTTTCACCCAATATTAAATACTGTTCATCATGGTCAGATTGCAATCTGACACCACTGGAGTCTTGATTCCAAGCACTGACTGCAAAATAGACATCTTTTCTTTCAGTCTTTATGGTGGAGAAAGGGGGAGAGGAATGGACCGCAAAATTCCAATTCTTCATATGTATATAAAGATTTATTTTTTATTGGAAAGGCAGATACACAGAGAGGAGGTGAGACAGAGAGGAAGACCTTTGGTCCCTTCGTTCAGTCCCCAAGTGGCTGCAACAGCTGGTGCTGCCCCAATCTGAAACCAGGAGCTCGGCGTCTCTTCCAGGTCTCCCACATGGGTGCAGGGTCCCAAGGCTTTGGATCATTCTCTACTGCTTTCCCTGGCCACAGGCAGAGAGCTGGGTGGGAAGCAGGGCAGCCAGAATTAGAACCCATGCCCATTTGGGATTCTGGTGTGTGTAATATGGTGAGGACTTTAGCTGCTAAGCTACCAAGCCCAGCCCTATTTGTTCATACTTTTAAAATTTTATTTTTATTTGAAAGTCAGTTACAGAGCAAGGGATGACAGATCAGCAACCATCCAAGAAGATATATTGTTTGGTTGAGAAATTGAATTTATTGTGGTTTTATCTCTTGAGCTGAGGACTCTCAGCTCTGTAAATCAAAAACTGAAAGCCATGTTAAGCAAGACTATGTGCACTGATTCAGGAGCAGTATGTTCATCGAACTGTCTGGTTTAATTAAGAGACACATATGTTTCTGAGCATAGTTTAAAGATAAAGAATTGAGCTTGTAGAGAATTAAATATTGTAATTGATTGTTATCACAGTGACCAGAGAAGAGAGGAGTTTGCCTCAAACCAGACCTGGAACAGATGGCAGAATTCTGGTCGGCCCCTCAGGCTGTGAGACCACCGTTGCACCAGTGAGGGGCACAGACCCATACCCCCCCCCACCACCACCAATAAGGGCCAAGGTGACCCCCCCATTTCAGCTTCCGTTTCAAGGAGAGTTTAAAAAACCCCTTCCCCATCTCTTCCACGCTCTTCTTCCTCTGCAGCCCATTCCTTCACATCTGTCTGTCTGCTGCATGGGGAAGGGAAGCCCGTGACCATGGTTCCCTGAAATAAAGGCCATCTAAGTTCTTTTCATATATTTGGCCGAGTTATTCTTTCCCTGGTGGTCGGCGAATTTAACGTTTTGGCTAGCAGCGAATCTAACAGTAATGTGTATAGTTTCTTTTGTAAATTATATTTATGCTCCAAGCAGAGCATTGATTTTTTTATTTTCCCCTGCTAATATTTTCCCCCAAAATGATCTGTCTTGGTTATTCCTCACTAGGATGTGTAAGGGATTCCTTACTAGAATGTGTAAAGGAAAGAGTAGACCAAAGAAGAGAGAGGACTAGGTATGGGCATGGTCTTGGCTACCTGCTCCTTTGTAAAGTAGCTTCTTAGGGCTCACCAATGATGAAGTTACATGTTTTAGTCATTTTAATGGAGCTTAGATGCTGTTTCTGTGTTGGGGAAAATTTGTCAGCACAGCGTCTCCCATTATCTCCAAGATTCATGATAGATACCTGAATTAGAGAACAACTATTAAATGTTCTTTTTCCTTTGGCACATAATGACTTCTGATTGGCTTTGGTGAAATCATGGCATACACTTGGGCCAGCCTCCAGGTTGGTTTGCACTTCTGGTGTTGATTTGGTTGCAAAATGGCTTGGTGTTAAGAGGTGTGATCTGACACTTGTTTTATCAGATGCTTAAATGCTGAGGATAGGCCACCTCCTTTATATTCTCACCCTACTTGTGCTGTCTGATCCCTAAGTCTGTGCCAGTGTCTTACATTGCAACGTGTATATTGTGTTGTGGACAAGTAGAAACAGTACTTGGATCTGATTTGCATCGAGAGTTGTGGATTTAGGTGGTTGTTATCTGGTATTTTGAAGTCATCCCACTGGCAAAGAATCAATCAGAAAAGGAAGGAAAGAGTTTGTTTCCTAGAGAAGCAAAAACTTGAATTTTTGTAAGTTATCTTTAATAACTAATACTACAACTCCCTCTGCAGTTGGTTCTTTGGTTTTCAGTTTGATCGTGGGCAAGCATGGGCAGGGGTCATACTAGAAATGCCAGTTTGTGGGCCCGACCCAGATTTTCTGAATTAGAGTCCGAGGAGGAAGACCAGCAATCTGGTGTGAAGGCACAAAGAAGTCTTAAGCATGCTGGACTGTGCTTGGGGAGGGGGTGTATCCTTTAATATTCGATTTTTCATTTATTTCTATCCTGAGTCCTAGTGGTTACAGATTTGTAGAACATGTAAGTGGTAAACACTTGAATTTGTGAGCAATGAACTTGGATTTGAATTCCCCTGGAAGAAATTCCTCTTCTGTTAACTCTGTGCCATTGGGATTGGCTTGTTCTGGGTTCCTTCATTGTGTGTGTGCTGCTTAGGAAGCTGTATGCCAGCCTCTCAGTGATGGGCCTTACCGTCTGTCTCTTTGGCTCTAAAAACCTTGTATCAGTATTCCTCCCTGTTGCTGCATCCATGCTATATTTTGTTGATATATTTTCTATGTTTTTCCTGGGTTTACCAATACATTTAAAAAGAACAGTGATTGTTTTTAGCTTGTTATTTTTGTGTCTTTACTGTTAAATTTTCACATTTAATCCATATTTTACAACATGGGTTTTTCATCAAATAAAAAAATTTTTTTTTGTAATTACAATGTGATTCAGTGCTGGTGTCTTAGGTCAATAAGAGAGTTTTTTGTTTTAATTAATTTGTGGAAGACACCTGTTGAAAGACTGAAGAGAACAATGTGGGGTGGAAGGGAAACTCCAGTGCCTATTAAACTGTGTGATAGAGCCCGGCAGCCTGGCCTAGCAGCTAAAGTCCTCGCCTTGAACCCGCCGGAATCCCATATGGGGACCAGTTCTAATCCCTGCGGCCTTGGGACCCTGCACCCATGTGGGAGATCTGGAGGAGACTCCTGGCTCCTGGCTTGGGATCAGCGCAGCACCAGCCGTTGTCATTTGGGAAGTGAATCGATCATTAGACGGAAGATCTTTCTGTTTCTCTTCTGTATATCTGACTTTGCAATAAAAATAAATAAATCTTTAAAAACTGTGTTATATAATAAAGAATTTTTAAAAATATTTGCAAGGAACATCTTACATCCATTGGGTTACTTTCCAGAATCTCCATAAGGGCTGATGTGTGGAACTTGGAACCATTTGGGCCTAATCTTTCCCTGTGTTTTTCTGGGAAATTTTTGGGGGGTAAGGGGAGAGATTCTTTTTAAGTAGTAAAGTTGATGGAGACTATTGTAAAATCACCTTGCATGGATCTGTTTTTAATGTTTCCCTATCTTTAAGAATTTATGACTTCCTGTTGCTTTGATGTGTATCGGAGTATTAATGAATAGCTCAAGCCCTTTCACTTCCTGTTCTTTATTTTTTAAGCCATATTGCGCAAACAGAAGAGATAAACTTTTACCTCCTTTTTTTTTTAACCTTCATTCATAAAAGTAATGCATTTGTTGTGAAATTAAGAACATTGTTAGCCCATGGTTTGAGCATAAGACAAAACGTACAAGTAACTTTATAGTCTTCAGTTTATCACGTGGATCTGTAGTACTTCCATTTTAAGCAGTGAGTTTCTGGAAGGAATTAAAAATGCATGGCCTGCTGTGAATTTTCAGTGTAGGATGCATAGAAATGGTTAATGATCATAAATGGTTCCTAGCATTTTATTCTGTCTCTCCCTTTATCCTCTCCCACCCCGTATTTCCATTGCCCTTCCTCCCCTACACCCCTTTCCTACCCTCTACTTTCTCACCCCCATACACATTTTGCTTGTGTTTTGAGATGATTTGTGTGTCAACAGGTCCCAGTAATTATTATTATTATTTTAATTTATTTGTCTGAAAAACAGATCATTCTTTATCCTTTGGTTCATTCCCCAAATGATTGCATGGCTGGAGCTGGGCCAGTCCATAAGTGAGGAGCTTCTTTGGGGTCTTCCATGTGGGTGCAGGTATCCAAGTAACTGGACCATCATCTGCTCCCTTCCCCGGGTGCATTAGCCGGGAGTTGGATGGGAAGTGTGGCAGCTGGGAGTGGAACCTGTGCTTATACAGGATGCAGGGGAGGGGGGAGCCCTTTATGTGCTGTGCCAGCTCCCATCCGGATTATTTTATGCACCAGCTCTGGTCCTAATTATTTTGCAACCAGAATTGTTGTAATGTCCAAATAATTGGAACTTGTGGGAGTAGAAACAGGAGAGAGACTATTAGAAAATGAGTGTAGCTTTATCTGATGATGTTCAACTTATTTATAACTTTGACAGTTTGGTGAAACTCAATTGGGAAGTTGAATTGGGTGGGGAATGCTAGAGGGTAGTTGGTGTAACGAAGTGATTCACGTCAGTTTTACAGTTAGCCAGCCCATGCTATGACCCTTGAAACCTTGAGGGATACTCCCAATCTGGACGCTCTGGTAAAGAACTGATTATCTTGATCAGCTTAATATTTCTGTATCTTTTTTTATAAATCTCATTGTCACCCATGCAGCCCTTATTGAAGAAGATAGTAATGGTCTCAACAAGAATCCTGAGTCAGTGTGGTTGAAAATCAAGTTGTGGGCCGCCTTAGGGGAGGGTATGCCCCTTAGTGGCATTTTACCCCGGCAGCTGAAAATTGATGGCTAAAAGAGTAACAGAGCTGATTTGAAAAGCATGGTGGAATTCCTCTGGTGGACTGGGAAATTTAAAAGATCAAGAACTGTACAAAACTATCTTGTTACCCAATATATTTCATGATCCTGTACATCTCCTTTCGTTTAACCCCATGCCAGCATTTTCAGCAAATATTTTTAGTTTGGAGTGCTTGTATGTGTAAATATGTATGTTAGGCTAAATATATTTAAACACTTTTGCATGTGCAATAATGTGAAATCTTTAAAAGGTCCTACTCAGTTGATTTTTTACATTGGCAGAGTGAAGATAGTCCAAGTCCCAAGAGACAGCGCCTCTCTCATTCAGTCTTTGACTATACATCAGCATCACCAGCTCCCTCACCACCAATGCGACCATGGGAGATGACATCAAATAGGCAGCCCCCTTCAGTTCGACCAAGCCAACATCACTTCTCAGGGGAACGATGCAACACACCTGCACGCAACAGAAGAAGGTTAGTTTATTACAACTTAGTTGTGGTTTTGGCTTTTTTTTTTTTTTTTTTTTAAGATCTATTTAATTTTATTGTAAAATCAGATGTATAGAGAGGTGCTCTGGCCATTGTGGCCAGAGCTGCGCTGATTCGAAGCCAGGAGCCAGGAGCCTTCTCCAGGTCTCCCACGCACGTGCAGAGTCCCAAGGCTTTGAGCCGTTCTCCACTGCTTTGCCCAGGCCTCAAGCAGGGAGCTGGATGGAAAGTGGGGCAGCCAGATTTAGAACCGTTGCCCTAATGGGATCCTGGAGCATGTGCAAGGTGAGGACTTTAGCCACTAGGCCACTGTACCGGGCCCTAAAACTTAGTTTTTAATATTTCCTTCCACTGATATGTTTACCAATATTTCTTAACATCAAAAAGTATTTTCCTGTAAGCATTTCATGAACACATCAACACAGGTGCGAATAAATTCACGGAAGTATTATAAGTTGTTTATGTTCCCAAACTGCAATCTTGGAGTTCATTTACTCTAACTGACAAGTGAAGACATTGAAAAGGATTGAAGTGGTTTAGCTAAAGTCAGCCCATGCTACTATATGAATTCAACCACCTTACAATGTAAGATGTGCTAGTCAGATATCCTGAATCCTGGATGATTCTGTTTTATGATTTGCCACATCCGGCAGGACAGTGTCAGGTTGACCTGGAAGAGGAATGGTGTTACATGGAAATAAGAAGCATCTGTTGTTCCAGTGATGTTATTAGCAGTAACGTAAGGGATCAGATCATCCAGTCATCAGTAATGTACAGTTGCATGCAAAACAGGAACTTGCAGTAAGAACTTTAAACATAGTGAAGCAAGGAACAATAGGGAACTTCATTGTTTACAAGAACATATTTAAAACACAGGTCTAATTGATAACTGATAAACTTATAACTGAGGTTAACAATGTCAAGAAATTTTGAGGTTGATATACTGTTGTCAACTACCATTAACTAGACATTCACTGGAACCCACAGCGGTTCCCAAACTGATTCGGAGTATGTGACAGCTGACCTTTGCCTTTTTTAATATGACACATTGACTGGCTACTTTTGCAGCTCAGCCAAACATGCTTCAGTGCATGGACTCAGAGTTAGGCATGCGTTTAGGCCAAGGATTGGTCTCCAGAAGTAGTTCATAGCCATAAAGTAATGAAATTTGAATATGTTCGAAGTGAGCTACTTTTATTATCAAAAAATGAGACAGAATTCCCATCTCCTGGTTAATACTGCAGATGCCCATAGTGCCCGAGAATAGTCCAGGCCATGGCACACTGGGGGTTGAGTCCATGTCTCTCACATTGGGTGCCGTCGTGTGCTTCCCCCAAGGGTCAACATCAGGTGGAAATGAGAACAGAGCCAAGACTTGATCTGGGCTCTCTGGTGCAGGAAACGAAGCAGTAGGCCAAACCTCTTGTACTTAGAGTTGAATCTTCTGTACACTATTCTGATTCCCATGTGTTCTCAAAGACAACTGGAAGTTAGGTTATATATACTGTAAAACTGTGGAGTCTGCTATCAAAGGGAGTTGAAATTTAGATCAGCTTTCCTTTGGTCTTTGGAACTTGACCATTTCCTTTTATCTTCTCAGGATTCTGCATTTTGTCTTTAGCTTCTTAGTCTACCTAATGTCATACATTTCTTATTCTTGGAAAATAATGCATCCTTGGAATAGAATATATGCATGTACACCATGTTGATAAACCTGGGATTAATAATAATCCAGAGATCCAAAGGTGTTCAGGCCTGAATATTTGTGGGGAGTCCTCCCCAGTTCATATGTTGAAGCCAGAACTCTCAGTGTGATTGTATTTAAAGATGAGATCTCTCAGGAAATAATTAGCATTGAATGAGATCATGAGGGCAGGGTCTTATCTAATAGGATTAGTGTCCTAGTAAAAGCTATATCAGAGGGCTCACTCTGTCACATGAGGATGTGGTCATCTGCCAGCCAGGAAGAGGGCCCTCCACAAACCAATAGTACTGGTTGGCACCTTGGTTTCAGGTGTCCAGCCTCCTGTATTAGGAGAAAATAGGTTGATACAGAGATCTTAAAACATTTGTTTTTTTGTTTCATGTGAGACAAATCTTGTCTATACTAAACCTTTTCTGTGAAGATACTTTAGTTATCATGCACAGTTAAGCATAAACTTGGCTGGTGTTTTTTTTGTTTTAACAATTTATTTATTTTGGAAAGGCAGATTTACAGAGAAAAGGAAAGACAAATCTTCCATCCGTTAGTTCACTCCCCAAAAGGCTGTAATGGCTGGAGCCTAGCTGAGCTGAAACCAGGAGACAGGAGCTTCTTCCGAGTCTCCAACATAGGTGCAGGGTCTCAAGGCTTTGGGCTGTCCTCTGCAGCTTTCCCAGGCCACAAGCAGGGAATGGAGCAACTGGGACCTGTGGGACCCAGGCGTGTGCAAGGCAAGGATTTAGCCACTGAGCCATTGCATCAGGCCCGGTTTGTTTTTAAATGGTAGGTGTTTGGACCCATAGCTTTAATCAATTCAGGTTCAACTTTTTTGGCAGATTGACTCCATGGATGGTGCTATGCGTGTCCATCAGGAGATGTTCCTGCCCAGTGTTTTTTTTTTAAATATATATATATTTTTTATATATAGTTTTTTTATATATGTATTTTCTAAAGATTTATTTTTATTATTTTTTAATTGGAAAGGCGGATATACAGAGAGGAGAGACAGAGAGGAAGATCTTCTGTCCGATGATTCACTCCCCAAGTGAGCGCAACAGCCCATGCTATGCAGATCCAAAGCCAGGAGCCTCTTCCGGGTCTCCCACGCGGGTGCTGGGTCCCAAGGCCTTGGGCTGTCCTCGACTGCTCTCCCAGGCCACAGGCAGGGAGCTGGAAGGGAAGCGGGGCTGCCGGGATAGAACCGGCGCCCATATGGGATCCCGGGCGTGCAAGGCGAGGACCTTAACCACTGCGCCACTGCGCCACCGCGCTGGGCCCCCAAAATAAGTAAGTCTTTTAAAGACTTAAAAGATTTGTTTTTATTTCTATTGGAAATAAATATTTAATAATTGAATAATTTATTTGTAAATAAACAATACTTTATTGGAAATAAATTTATGTTGTTACGTGTGTGTGTGTGTGTGTGTGTGTGTGTGAATGGTAGATTTTTGCCAAGAAGAGGAGAGAACCATCCACTGGTTCACTCCTCTAATGGCCGCAATGGCCAGAGCTGAACTGATCCGAAGCCAGGGGCCAGGAGCCTCTTCTGGTTCTCCCATGCGGGTACAGGGTCCCAAGGCTTTCGGCCATGCTCTATTGCTTTTCCTGGCCACAAGCAGGTTGCTGGATGGGAAATGGAGCAGCCGGAACACAAATGGGCACCCAGTGGGATCCCGGTGCATGCAAGGTGAGGACTTAAGCCACTAGGCTCCTGTGTTGGGCTCAAATAAATTTTAAAAGTCCAACCTTGATTCCCCATACTGTGATTTTCCTTGTTCCTCACTGGAATTCACTGTCATTCATTTGTTCTGTATAGTGTTTTTGGTAATGTCTGTTTATTTGGAAGGGAGGGTTTGGAAGTAGGGCAGTGACTGGGGCGAGAACCTGGAGGATGACACCAGGAGCACTAGTGAACAGCCCTGTTTCTGGAGTTTGGAGTGGAAAGCGATGGCCGAAGTGCAGAATGGGAAGATTGATGAAGAGAGAACCTGCTGCTGAGAGGCCTTTCACAGCACTGCCTGCAGGAGGCTTGGCCTTCTGTGCCCAGTTGGAGGGTGCAGTTCAGTATTTAAATAGAGGCCTCCTGCTTGTCAAATTGGTTTTGTGCTGAATCATTGTTAAATAGGAGTGGAGGTGAATTGTGGAAGTGTAGAGAAATAAAAAATGACAATCTGTCACAGTTCTTTTGTAACATTATGTAGAGATTAGTGCAGAGTAGAGTGTGTTACTTCAGTAAGCAAATGCAGCAACTGCCGAGGCTGTTAGGCTGAAGCCAGGAACGAGAAATTCAAACCAGATCTCTTGTAAGGGTAGCAGGGATCCAAATGCCTGACGCCCGCGGGATCTGTACCAGCAGAAGCTGGCATTGGGGACTGGAAATCAGGACACTGTGGCGTGGTAGGAGCAGGTGTCCCCAGCAGCATCCTAACTGCATTACCAGTAAGTCCCATAATACACATTTTCCATGACATTTTAGGAAAATTGCTTATTGTCATTTATTTGAAAGGCAGAGTGCTGAGAGAAAGAGAGCAGTTTTTCATTTTGTTTCACTCCCAAAATGCCTGCAGCAATCAAGGCTGGAGCAGGCCAAAGTTAGGAACTGGATCGCCAGGCATGTGTCACCCACATGAGCGGCAGGGATTCAGATACTGGAGCAGTCATGTTCTTCCTCTCAGGATGCATTTTCCAGCAGTTTAATTGACAAAACAGTAATCAGTACTCTCAAATTAGCACTGTAATATGAAATATAGCTGTTCTTTATTTCTTCCTTCCTTCGCTTCTATTTTTTATTTTTGTTTTACTTGAAAGAGTACAGAGAGAAGTCTTCCATCTACTGGTTCATTCTCTAAATGGCCTCAACGACTAGAGCTGAGAAGGTCCAAAGCCAGGATCTTCTTCTTGGTTCCCACATGGGTGCAGGGGCCCAGTGCCTGTCCCTACATAAACTTCTTAAAGACCCATCATGTATGTTCTTGGAATATTTATGTTCATACAATCAAGCATCTCCATTATCAGCATTTACTGAGTTACTATTATATTTGCAGCTGTCAACAAATTATGTTTTTGTTTGTTTCAGTTGTAGGCAGACAAAGAGAGCTCAATCTCCAGTTGGCCACAATAGCCAGGGTTGGTATAAGGCTGAAAACCCTTCAGTTCACATCTTCCATAGCAGTGGTTGGAGCCCAGTTCTTTGAGTCATCACTGTTGATTTCTAGGTCTGTATGGCAGGCAGCTGAAGTCGAGCATAAATATGGAATGCAGGCTTCCCAGCAACTTAAATGCTTGTCCAAATGTCTGCTCTTATTTTCAGTTTGTATTCATTTATTTAGATTTTTTTAATTATTTATCTGTTTTTGAAAAATAGAGTTACAGAGAAGGAAACAGAGTCAATTGGGAAGATCTGGTTTACTCCCCAAATAGCTTCAATGGCCAGAGTGAGACTGGTCTGAAATGGAGCAGGAGCTTCTTCTGGATTTCCCATGTGGGTGCAGAGCCCAAGCATCCTGGCATTGTCCCTTTTTTTCCCCCAGGTAGTTAGCAGGGAGCTGGATTAGAAGTGGAGCATTCAAGACCCAAACCTGTGCCCACATGGAATAATGCCCCTCAGGCAGAGAATTAACCTATTGTGCTATGACACAGGCTCCAGTTTTTTAAATTTTCATGTTACTGAAAGCGTGTGAAAGAGATCAAGAAATCTTTTTTTTCTGCTAACTCTACAATTGCCAGAATCTCTATCCAGGACTCCCATGTGAGTGGCAGGGATACAAGGACTTGAGCCATAATCTGTTGCTGTTTAGGATGAATTAACAAGAAGCTGGATCAGCAGCTGAGCAGCTGGGCACTTGATCTGTCATTCTGATAAGAAGATGAAAGCAGAGAGACTAACCCTCTGTACACAATGCCTGCTCTGTCTATTTTCATGTTTAAAATGGGCATATGAAAACTGTGTCTTGTTTCTTTAAGCCAAATAGAAAAAAATGTGAAGTGCCCATTATGTGTATAAGAAATACTAACAAATTTTATTTATTTTTAAGATTTATTTTTATTGGAAAGTCAGACATACAGAGAGGAGGAGAGAGAGAGGGGAGAATCGTCCATCTGTGGCAGCACTCCCCAGGTACCTGCAATGGAGGCAGCTGTGCTGATCCAAAGCCAGGAGCCGGGAATCTCTTCCTGATTTCCTGCGTAATCGGTGCAGAGTCCCCAGGCTTTGGGCCATTCTCAACTGCTTTCCAAGGCAACAAGCAGGGAGCTGGACTGAAACAAGAGCTGCCAGGATTAGAACCAGTGCCTATATGGGACCCCAGTGCAGTAGTCTAGTGGCTAAAAAAGACAAATACTAATTTTTCTTTTTTTCTTGTGTTTAATTTCTAATTTTTAAAGCTGATGGGAAATTATGGCAGTTAATTGAATACTGAGGTTTACTCTATCATGTATTATTGATGTATATCAAAGAAAACAGTATGTTATCCTGATGGAGCAACAATAGTAACATTGTAGTAACAACCTCCTTTTTACATTTGTTTTATTACAGTCCTCCTGTCAGGCGCCAGAGAGGGAGAAGGGATCGCCTGTCTCGACACAATTCCATTAGTCAAGATGAAAACTATCACCATCTCCCTTATGCACAGCAGCAAGCAATAGAAGAACCTCGAGCCTTCCACCCCCCAAATGTATCTCCCCGTCTGTTACATCCTGCCGCTCATCCACCCCAGCAGAATGCAGTAATGGTTGACATACATGATCAGGTATAGTAATAGACTATCTGGGAAATACTGGGGGTAAAAACTGGTGACAGCTTACTGAGATGGGTTCTTTGTGGCATGTTTTTTCTTTACTTATTTAAGTTCCTCTTACTCCTTATAAGAAATGAAACTTAAACTATATACAGTTTCTGTACAAGACTGGTGAACCTAAAATAATTAAGTGCAGGGTTAAGACAACTGGTTGCTTCATCTAATAGTTGTTTAGAAATTAGTGATTTAAGAGTAATGGTTCTTAAATAGCTGGTGCTTTGAGCACGTTTGTCTGTTTCAGTTTATTCTGGGGTAGTTCAGTACACAAGGCAGTGGAATGTGTATCTTTGCTTACACATTTTCACACCCAGGGAACTCCTAGAAACAAGTAGGTGACTAATTGTTAAAGAATTGCCTGTCGTCAGTGCTTGTGGGTGAAAACCAAAATTATGTGATCTTCTGAAGTCAAAAGCAGCCCAGATCCTCCTAAAATGGCTAGGTGTTAAAGATGCAAATTTATAGACGGGAGAAATTAAAAAGGAAGGCTAATTGGAATAGGAACTGATGACTCACTTTTTATTGCTGTTTTATTTATTTGAAAGTTAGTCAGAGAGAGGTTATCTTCCATCTGTTGGCTCATTTTCTAAATGGTTATAATGGCTGGGGCTTGTCCAAGCCAAAGCTAGGAACCTGGAGAGCCATCCTTTTCTATTCTTTCCTCCTGTGTAAGTGGCGGGGATCTAAGTACTGACCAGGACTTACTGCTTTCTCAGGCACATCAAAGAGGGAGATCAAAGCATTTCAGAACTATTGATACCCCCTAAGCAGAACTCTCAGAGCATGCTCCAACACTGGAGTCCCTGGGGTGACATCGTGTGGCTATTCCCATCCATGCGTGCTGCGGAGTTGGGAGGCTGGGTGCAGCCTCTCTCCTTTTCTCTTCCTCTTCTCCCCTCTCCCATACAGGAAGAAAAAGGAAATTTGGAAGCAGCAGTCTTAGCCACTTTCCCCTAGCCCTTGACCCTTCCTGCCCTAATCAACTATGTAAATATCATCAAAATAAAATTTTAAAAAGATGAAAACTTTTTTCACAGATATACATGGGACATATTTGGGGGTGGAGTGAGTTGGGAAGGGAAGGTGGGAGAGAAGGAAATGTTTCCTTGCTTTTCATGTTTGCAGGAAGAGAGAGCACCCCTCTATGTTGGCTGTCTTCCTATGGGCTTTGCAAGGAGAGTAGTTTCATGATACCAGTGCTCAAATGTTAATTTAGTAACTGTCAATGATATTCCACATAAAACTGTAGGGAGAAGAACTGAAAAAAATAAGTTCTCCAGATGACCCAGGAATATTAATATAGAAAGTTGGGATTGTAATGCTTGTATAGTATAACATAAATACCAAGTACTTCTGTCTACTGATTCATTCCCCAAATGGTCTTGATGGCCAGGACTGCACCATTGTGAAGCAGGTATCCAGGAACTCCATCTTGGTCTCCCATGTGTATGCAGAGGTCCACGTGCTTGGGACCTGTGCATTTGCTGGCACACTGATAGGGAACAGGATCAGAGGCAGAGCAGGCAGGACTAGTGTGTGCAAGTCTGGTGTTGCAGGCAGTAGCTGAGTGTGCTGTGCCACAATGCTAGACTGCTTTGTTTTTAGATAAATGTTTAGAAGACATAATTTAGCAGTGCATGAATAGAACAATAACCTATGACCAAATATATTCCAAAGAAGACAGAGTTTAATAGGTAAACATTTGTGTTTCATTAAGCAAGGTAGAAGAAAAATTTTTTGATGTTGAAAAGGCAGTTAAACTAATTTAAATGAGATAAAGCAGATACTTTAATCAGTAACATCAACAGCAACTAGAAAGATGCTGCTCTGTCCATTTTTATTTAATGTTTTACCAATGCAATAAAATAATGGTTATAAAACATTGAAATAATTATATATATTTATTCTCCTTTATAAGTAAAAAGAGACAGAAAAGTACTTGCCACGTCCCATTTTATAGGACATTATGTAATATGTAAGGTTACAAAGAAAAATACTGCTAGACTTGGGTGTGGGTGTGTGTACATGCACCTGCACGCACACATGTATGACAGGATGATAAAGGAGAAGGAGCCCAAACAGAAAAACAAAAGGCTGCACTTCAGAAAAGGTGAGTGCTCATTTATATATTGTTAGATATTGAGTCTCTGCTAAGTTAGGATTAGGCTGCAGTGAGTGCGACCGTACAGTTCCAGGACAGCTGAACAGATCAACAGCCGTGGCAGAAATTGACATAACCATTAAAGAACTAGTGATTCCTGAATAAGTATTCCAGGTCATTGAAAAGTAGAAACATCCAAGTATATTTGATAAAGCTAGCATTACGATAGCACTGAAATTTTGTGGTAAAAAATACAACAAAATCTGTTAGGTTCCCTGTAGAATATACATGCGGATGTTTGAAATAATAAAGCATAGCCAGTGATTTTTTTTTTAAGATTTGTTTTTATTGGAAAGTCAAAGGAGAGACAGAGAGAAAGATCTTTTGTCTTCTGATTCACTCCCCAAGTGGCCACAATGGCCAGAGCTGAGCCATCTGAAGCCAGGAACCAGGAGCCTCTTCCTGGTCTCCCACTCTGGTGCAAGGTCCCTAGGGTTTGGGCTGTCCTCAGCAGCTTTCCCAGGTCACAAAACAGCTGGATGGGAAGCAGGGCCCCTGGGACACAAACCAGTGCGCATATGGGATCCTGGCACATGTAAGGCAAGGACTTTAGCTGCTAAGACCAGGCCCTCAAATAAATATTTCAAATAAATAAATCTTATAAACAATTTTAAGGGACTGGCATTGTGGGATAGTGGGTAAAGTTGTTGCTTGCAATGTCAGCATGCCACATGGGTATCGTTGCTAGTCTTAGCTGCTCCCATTGCAGTCCAGCTCCCTGCTAATGTGTCTGAGAAAGCAGCAAACGATGGTCCAAGTACTTGGGCCCATGCCACTCAAATGGGAGACCTGGATGAAGTTCATGGCTCCTGGTTTTGGCCTGGCCCTGACCCTTATGGCCACTGTGAAGTGAATCAGCAGGTGAAAGATCTCTCTGTCCTTCTGTCTTTGTAACTCTTTCAAGTAAATACAAATCTAAAAAAAAAAAAAAAAAAACTATTAGAATTATTAAAAGAATTAAATTAGTATGACCATTAAAGTAGAAATATTTTGTACCTGACATGATGGCTCTGACTAAATCCTCACCTTGTAAGCACCAGGATCCCATATGGGTGCCCGTTCTAATCCTGGCGGCCCTGTTTCCCATTCAGCTCCCTGTTTGTGGCCTGAGAGGGTGGTTGAGGACAGCCCAAAGCCTTGGGACCCTTTGTTCATGTGGGAGACTCAGAAGAAGCTCCTAGCCCCTGGCTTTAGATCAGCTCAGCTGTGGTTGTAGCCACTAGGGGAATGAACCATCAGATGGAAGATTTTTGTGTCTTTACTTCTCTCTGTAAATATGGCTTTCCAATAAAAATAAATGTTTTTCAAAAGTAAAAATACTTTACTAATAATGCAAAAAAAAAATAAAACCCAAAATTTAGTGTTCCTTTCTATTCTAACACAAGTTCTTAAAGTAGAAATGTAGTTAAATTGCCACAGGTGATAGGAAAGGTTATTCAAAATGTTGTTTTGGCTCAAAGACAATTGAGTATGCTAGATAAAATGTTAGCATTATGTTAAAATGTGTATATAAAATAAGTAAAAAACCACACAACCTAGAAGAAATGCCTGGACCAGAATTTGAAGAATGCTAGGTCTATCATGAGGGTATTTGTTCATTGAGGCAAAATTTGAACTTCTATTTTAGGTTGTTTAAAAACAATAGGGGCAGGAAATCAAAAGACTGTTCAGATAAGAAATATGGGCACCATCCTCCCAGGGGAGGAGTTGCCAGAAGTAAGTATCCAGCCCTAACTCAGATTAGTTTTCAAGTAATTGTGACTACAGAGATCAACAGGACAGGTATATTCTTCTTGGAGTAAGGAACCTTCATTGTTGTTCTCAAAGAATTACTTCAGATAATTTTTCAAGAATGATGAGCAGTAAGCAAAGTTAATTCAATACATGAAGAAAGGACTATGAATTAAAGACCGTGAAGAAGCTGGTGTAGTAGGTATTCCCACTGCTAGTGTTGCCAGCATCATATGTGGACTCCAGTTCATGTCCTGCTGCTCTGCTTCTGATACAAGTCCTGGCTAATAAGCTGGGAAAGGTATTGGGAGATGACCTCAGGTATTTGTGCCTGTGCCACTCAACATAGGAATCTTGGAGGGAGCTCCTAGCTTCGTTGTGGCCCAGCCCTGGCGGTTCTAGCCACACAGAAAATGAACTAGCAAATGGAGGATCTCTCTAACTCTGGCTTTCAAATAAATAAAATTTACAAATGATTCACTTCCTTGATGGCCACAATAGCTAGAAGTGGTCCAGTCTGAAGCTAGTAGCTTCCTCTCAGTCTCTCGTGTGTGCAGCGACCCAAAGACTTGGACCATCAGCTGCTCCATTCCCAGGCCATTAAGGAGCTGGATTGGAATTGAAACAGCTGGTACTTGAACCGGCATATGGAATGCCAGTGCCACCAGTGGAGACTTAACTTGTGTGCATGAATCGAGCCCCAATAAACAGATAGATTTAAGGGATTTCAGATAAAGTATTTCAGATAGGTTTTTTTTGGTTGTTGTTTTGAGGGTTTTTAAAAAGGTTTTTATTAAAAGATCAGATTTATGTAGAGGAGAGACAGAGATCTTTCATTTCCTGGTTCAGTCCCCAAAAGACCACAATGTTGTTTTAAATCCATAGTAAACTATTTTGTATATGATGTTCCTGTGATTTACTTCAACAAAATACAGGAAATGGAGAAGTAGGTAGGGGTGGATGATGATATAGGAGGTTGGTATACCCCCTTTTTTTTTTATTTGTTTTTGATAATTTTTTTCATATTACTAGTGCGAAGTCAAGACAAAAATGGATAGATCAGTGTTTTAAACTTTTCACATTCTTTTTTCCTTTCCTGTATCTTGGTATAAGAGTAGAAACCACTCCCAGCCCTCCCACCACCCAATTTCCCATGTAGGCATGCGTCAAGCACTGCTCATGGTTTTGATAGTTTCAAACAGCCTTATGCTGTCAGTACTCGCACTCCATCACAATGAAATTCTTTCCAAATCCACTGCTACATACTTCACCTTACAGTCTCCGTTTTTCCCAGTCTTCACTCCAACCTGCTGGGTAATTTATTGTTGTACTTATGTCCTCTTCCCTGTTAGATACGCAGGTTCCATTACTGCCATATCCTCCAGTGCACCTGAGATGCCACGTCCACTGCTCTAAACCACTGAGAAAACCACCTCTGACCCCCACCCAACCCCCAAAAATTTTGGGGGCCACTCCATGTGTCAACCAGTAACCTCATTTCTCCATGTTGGAGTTCGAACCATGGTTCATTGGGGAATCCCAAAAAAACTTCTTCTGAGGTGATCCCAGACCTGATTGTTATGTGTGCATGCCAGTGTATGGTCTGGCACAGTCCGTCGTCCAAATCAACCTATACACACACCGGTAGTTGCAATTGCTGGGTCAATTCTGTCTCTAGCCCTGTTTTCTATGCAAAATCATGCGTATTGCAGTCCAGCTTGATCCTGCCCACCACACACTTGGCCTTCACACCAACCAGTGGGAGATGCAGCCTAGTCGGAGTGACGCGCAATAACCCCCACCAAGCCTCTGCTTTCTGTGCTTGCCAGCATGTACAGCAGACTGGTTCAGTCTGTTCCACATCCTGTTCAGTTCTTGAACACTGGCATTCAGTTCTCGTTCAGTGGGCGTTGAAGCCTAGCTCAACCCAACCAGCCCCACTATGTAACCCACACACATGCTGGTGGGTGCCACTCTGTTTAGCCATGCCTTCCCCTAGTCCTGGTTTCCATGCTCACCAGTGGAAATTGACAGCACATTCCTGCATCCAGCTGTTCTCAAACACCAATGGTACTGAGGCTACCTAATTGCACATCCCTACCCATCCTACACCCATACCCGCACTGGACAAGGAACCATATCGAGACCAAATCGCAGGCCCCACCCGCCCCACATTCACCCTGAAACCACAACTTAGCCAGGGCGTTCCCTGTACTCCCCAACCAGGCCTGTTCCCAGCGTAAATCTTCATTGGCAGTTTGCTCTGACTCAGCTTGCACAGCCCCTCCCTTCCGAACGCTGCCTTAAAACACTTGCTTACGTCCCTGGCTCCCACTGACCTGCAGGTACAAGAGCCTAGCCGGCATGAACTCTGCTCCCTCCTGTTTCTATTTACTTGGGCTAAGGTTTGCTCAGTCGTGCCTAATCTAGTCTGTTCATTACCAGTTTACACATTGGCCAGCTGATGAACTTCTTTGGCAGACAACCCCAACCAACTTCTGCAGACTGATTTGTCTCACATATTTAGTGATTACAGTTGCTAAGGAAGAGTTACGCCTTTTTCAGGTCCAACGAAGCACAATGTTCAACCTGGAGCTAATTAAGCAGCAACTCAAAGAACCAAAGCCCCATAGCCCCGGCCGGCGGCCAGCAAGGCAAGCTGCCTCCCAAACAAACTCACACATTCGGCTGTCCGGATCCAGGCATGAGATCCCCTCCTGAGACCCACCTCAGCCAGAGCTGCTAGGTTTAAAGATCCCAGGCCAAGTTCGCTCCCCACCAAAACCCCTTCACCCCATCCCATGAGGACGGCCGGTGGGTCCCGACCTGCCCAGTCCCAAGCCCTCCCCCCTACGGTCTACTCACCCCGAAGAAGCAGCCCACCGAACCCACAGCCCCAGAAGCATCACAGCACATGGCGCAGTGCACAGCGGCTGTCCAGATCACCATGAGACGCCCTGTCCTGAGACCCACCTCTTTAGCTGATTGTTACACAGAGAAGAGAACCACTCTTGTAATGCTTAAGGAAGGTGGGCAGAGCAGCTTTTCTAGTTATTACAAATTATTATATAGCAGTGTTAATGATAACATTCATTGCCTAGTCAGCTACAGAACAGATGGTAAGAACAGGAGCAGTGATTTCGCTCAAAAATCAGGGTAGTGGTTCCTTTGACAAGGGGAATTAGGGAGTGGCTCTTCTGATGTAATACTTTTATGTATTTTGTTGTATTCGTGGTTCAAAAAAAAATAGGGAACTTTCATTGATTCCAAGATGTACAGTTTTCATATTTTGTCATTTCTAGAGTTGGGGTGCTTCACCTACTTGATGCATCTTAATCTTGGTGCGTCAGAAGCAGTAGGTGTAATTCAGTTATTGCTTTTACATGTCAGTGTCAAACCACTGAAATGACCCCAGAAGAATTAAATAACCTGTAGGAATTGGCAGGGCGGAGTGTAATTTAACTTCTTCAAGTACAAATCATAAGCTGACCAGCTATACATGACTGTAGACGTGACTTGAAAATTCTAGCAGCAAATAGCTAAAATAAGGATTCCATATCAGCAGCCTCCTTGAAGATGCTAAGCTTCTTGTGGATAAACCACCCAGTGACCCTGAGATGAGTCAGCAGAGCCAGACTCTGAAAGTGAAGACAGGTTAGGAAGAGACACTTGCTTCCCCTTACACTTTTCATGAATGCTCAAGCATTACATGACCTCAACTGAAGTGCCTTTAATATGTTTATAAATATAAAATTTCTAATGACAAGGTGTTGTGTTAGTTAATTGGTAACATTTTTCTTGGTACATAAAAAAGGTCATGCAGTTGACTGATAACATGTTTGCTTCAGTGTGAGATACCTTAGCATGACCAAGACTACCAGAATCCAGTGGTTAACTTTCATTGGTAAAATTTGGGATACAGATGCATGTGAGCAGTCTCTGAAAATTCTTCCTGTTGCAAAATAACACTTTAAGTAAATAGCTGAGTTGAACTTAGTAAATATATTATATAAGAAAAGGAAAGAGATTCTAGGTAAGAAAAGGAAAGAGATTCTAGTTTCAAAAATTATTAGGTCTGGGGTTAAGTTGCTGTCTGCAGTGCCTTTATCTCATGTTGGTGTTAGCTAAAGTCCCAGCTGCCCAACTTCTGAACCCCCTAATGCACCTGGGAAAGCAGTAAAGCAATTGTCCAAATGTTTGGGTCTTTGCTCCCCTGGGTAAGGTACAAATGAAACTCCTGGCTCTTGACTTTAGAACTGGGCCAGTTTTGGCCATTTGGGGAATGCACCTTTTTGTGGAAGATCTCTGTGTCTATCCTCTCTAACTCTACCTTTAAAATAAAAATTAAAAAAAAAAAAATGAAGATGATTTCTTAAAGGACCAGATTGTAATTTAGAATGTGGTGGCATAATGTTCCTGGATTAAAATGTTTAATACAAAATTGAGTTTATTGTAATAAACAAATTACTACTGTAATAGTATGGTAATATGTCTTTAACTGGTTAGTATTGTTTGCGTTATATTCAAGAATAAATGTGTGAAAATGACCCCCCATAAAGAAAAGTAACTATGGTAAAGGGGAAGAATAATTCTAGTAAAATACTATCTTCAAAACAGTATGAAATTGTCATGAAAGAGAACCAGGAATATGTGGAATTTACTGAAGGTAAAACAGATTTTTACATTTAGAGGAAATAGGATGATTTGATGACTAGATCAGGATCTGATTGTTATCCATGTTTGAGAAAAATTGAATCCTGCTTCAGTGTTAATGATTTTCAGTGAAGTGTGAAATCTATATTTGAAAAATAACATAGCATTACATTTGTATAACTTCACTGCTATATTTTGCATTATAAAAATACAAGATCATAAAAGAAAACATAAAAGATTTAAGAAGATGAACCATGGAGTAGAAAGATTTTTTGTTACACATGACAAGTGGTAAATTTATATCTAAAATAATAAGTGAAAGCTGGTTATGCCAACCTTGGAAAATTGAGCAAGGTACATAGATTATTTGCAGAAAAAATTAAATGGATAATAACCCATGTTAAAATTAACCTTTAACATCAGAGAAATGAAAATTTAAAGCAAATATGCCAATGCTATGTTTTCACTCTTCAGATGAGTAGACATGCTTGTAGTACAAGTAAAATTACTCTTGAGTGAAGATGGTGGGAAATAGGATTTCTGGGTTACAGCTCCAAGTATGACTTGACATCCAGCCTTTTTACAGGTGATTGATAGTATCCTAAAGTTAACAGAAATAAGAACCAAAATACATGAATCCCTTTGTTTAGTAATCTCTCTAAGATTAATGTGAGATTGTTCAGTAATTTTTAATAATTATGTTTGCATTTGCAAAAAATAGACACTTTGTCCGTAAATACTGGTATGTGACAGTATATCAGTTAGATACGTTTGCTTGAGATGGAAGCAAGATAACATAAAGCCCAAACATGCCAGTTCATACGTGAGGCTTGTTTTTTATGCTCATGGAGAGATAGGTACGTTATGCTGCTTTTGTGTTTATTAGTTGGCATTAAATGTAATTTTTGTTCTTTGGGGCTTTGAGTAATCCTAGTTCTGTAGAATCAGACATAATCTTGAAATAGCTTTCCTAATTCAGAGGCAGCAGATGTCGTGGTTAAAACTTAGATTGTATGAAAAACCGTACGCCTGAGCAAGGGGAATCAAGGACTGCTCAGACAGCTCAAGTTCTGTTTTTCTTTCCTGATAGCTCCATCAAGGCACAGTGCCTGTTTCCTACACAGTAACAACAGTGGCACCACATGGACTTCCCCTCTGCACAGGCCAGCACATCCCTGCGTGCAGTGCGCAGCAAGTCCCAGGATGCTCTGTGGTTTTCAGTGGACAGCACCTCCCCGTCTGTAGTGTGCCTCCTCCGGTAAGTCTGGGCCTCTGTTACCATTAGATCCTCCTGTTAAGCATATCAACCTGGATTTGGTCTTGTGATTAGACTCAGAAGCTTTCTTTAGAATGGCTAAGCATTATATAAGCAAACAAATGGTATCTTTGTAACTTTATTTCCAAGTAAAAAGGGCAATTTTACTGCAAAAACATTGTTATTGTACATGAGCTTTAAAATGATGTGATTTTTACATTAATAATACATAATTGAATACTCTGAGGACCAAGTTGTGCATGCTTATATAGCAACACTGTTTGAAAGTAAAGCTTGATAAAAGTTGGCCTCAACCCCAAAGACTGTGGTGTTGAACAGAAGTGTCCGCACATACAGGGTTTCTGTAGACACTTACCATGGTAAACCTATGTGAAATAATATCATCTCTGAAAAATTAAATGACTTGCTTAATATCATAAAGATAAGCAATTAGTATGGGAGGGCAGACTCACCTTTTTGCCTCAAACTTATCTTTTAATATGCTCTACTTTTTTCATAAATGAAGGTACTGAAATCTAGAGGACTCAAATGACTGAGCTAAGGGCGGTAATGTCTAAAGGAAAGCCCTTGGCAAAAATCTCATAAAAACAATACTGTGGCTTGAACATGAGATTGAAGCAAACGAACATGCTAGTACTGAGCACGTTCATTGTCTCAGCTTGGCTTCTAAGTAATAGAGAGCTGTGGTCAACTGCCCAATGACATGCTGTACAATGATTAAGCAGTTAATTGTGAGTTGCATTTTGAGAAAATTTCTACAGAGAATTTTCTATCAGACTGAAAAGGAGAGTTTTTTAGAATAGCAGCAGCAGCCAGTACTTTACTAACAGTATGCAATATATCAGTTTATCATTGCTTGTAAGTTGCTGAAAATGTTGTGGTTAATTTGGGGGATGCTGTGGCAGTGACTTTAATCTCATATTTAAAACATAATCATATATTCCAATATTTTTAACCAAAAAAAAATAATTATTTCTCTTACAGATGCTTCAGGCATGTTCCGTTCAGCACTTACCAGTACCATATGCTGCATTCCCACCCCTTATTTCTAGTGATCCATTTCTTATACATCCTCCTCACCTTTCTCCCCATCATCCTCCACATTTGCCACCACCAGGCCAGTTTGTCCCCTTCCAAACGCAGCAATCACGATCGGTAGGTACCTCTGCTCTTAATTTTCCCAAAATCTTTAGACCAGGCAGATTAATTTAGTGAATGTAAGGTTTTACCAATTAAACACTGTGACTTAGGCATTCTTGTGGTTCTTAGAAAGAGTGAAGGATTCCATGGATATAAACTAGGATACAGTCATATGCCTTGGATTTTCCTGGTTTCTTAGCTCGTTGTAGCTATTGTAAAGTCACTTTTAAATGACCTTTTACAGTCATTTTTTTCTTTTCACATAGTTATAAATAAGAAAATGAGAAGTGTATAAAGGTATTTGTGTTCTATAGAATATAGAATATATTCTATAGAATCCTGTTCTCATGCTGGACTACAGCTAAGGTGAATACTGTTGAGGGAGTTAGGGAAGATAATTATGTTAATAAAGAAGGTCACAGGAAAAGGCTCTAATTGTTTTCTGGATTGGCTGAACTTAAGTGCCATGTCTAAAATAAATAAATAAATGTGTGTATGTATGTATGTATAGTAAGAGTTCTTTTGGAGGGTATGGGACAGGGAGGCAGATTTACAGAGAAAAGGAAAGACAGATCTTCATCCACTGCGGTCACTGCCAAGTGGCCGCCATGGCCGGAGCTGAGCCAGTCTGAAGCCAGAAGCTTCTTCCTGATCTCCCACTTGGGTGCAGAGTCCCAAGCATCATTTGTATCTAAATTTGGCATTATTTAAAAGATCCAGTTACACAAGTGATCAAGGTTTAGCCTTGATGGTGTCAGTATCATCAGTTGTAGTTTGTTTCTAGTGTGAGTTAACCTTCAGACTGAAATGTTAGCCTTTATGTGCAAATAATGTGTTAATGTTCTGTATCTGAGGAAATCAGGTTAACAGTTGAGTGCATGTGCCCAAATAGTTAATTGAAAACATCTGGGAACTGACGTTGGCACAGAATGGATTAAGCTGCCTACTGCAATGCTAGCTTTGACCCAGCCTCTGATGCAGCTGTCTGTTATTGCACCTGGGAAAGCAGCAAAAGTGGCCCCATATGCTGGGGTGCCGTGGTCACCTACATTTAAAAAAAAACTGGATGGAGTTCCAGACTTCTGGCTTCAGCCTGGCCTGCCCACTCACAGCTGTTGTCATTTCAGAAGTGAACTAATGGATAAAGATCTCTGTCTCTTCCTCTCTACCTCTCCCTTTCAGATTTTAAAAAAAAAAAAAATCAACAACACAGAAGTAATTGCCCAAGCGTTTATAATAGTGTCAAATTTATGTATTCTATAAAATGAATGAACCTTGAAAACATGATAAGCAAAAATATAAACATACGCACACAAAGGCCACATATTATATCTCTACATTGGTAAGTCCAGGTAGCCAAATTTATAGTGATGGAAAATAAGTATCTCCTGGAAGAGAAATACTTAGTTAAATTTAAAAAAAAAAAAATTTTTTTTTAAAGGAAGAATTACAGAGAGGCAGGCGCCAGGGAGAATCTTCCATCCGCTATTTCACTCTCCAAATGGCACAACACCCAGGCCTGAGCCAGGCTGTAGCCAAAAGCCTGGGACTTTATCTAGGTTCGTGGTGTGGGTGCAGGAGCCCGAGCTGGGTGGGCAGTAGAGTAGCTGGGACTCAGCTGGCAACTCGATGCTCATTTGGAATGCTGGCTTTAGAGGCCACAGCTTGACCTGCTGTGCCAAAGGGCCATCCATGGGTAGTCCTAAATGGTATGGGGTTTCTTTTAGGAATGCCAAAAATGTTTTGGAATTAGTGGCAATGATACTATACACTAAGATCTACCTAAGAGAGTTGTATGTGAATCATAGCAACCTTTTTTTTTTTTCGTATCCTATGTATGTGATTTCCTTAGCATTATGTGATTTTTGTACATTGTTTCACAACATACTTTAGAAATTGGCTGTGAGCATATCACGTGACAGTGCTGGAGTTGAGATTAAGTGCTTTATCCAGCACATGGCTGATTGGTGACAGTGCCAAGGTTACGGTAATATCGGCCTGTGTCTTTCTACTGCCACGTGGTGCCTTCTGTACCTTATCCCATTTTGAGATTTATAAATGTGTTTGTGTTCTGGTCTATGAAAGGTTACATGTCTCACGGTTCTTCACATATGGTCAGGGTGTTGTGACTGAAAGAAGTTATTTTTACCTTTTTAATAATTAACCTGTTAGAGGACTTTTAGTCTTTTAATAAGAGAAATTTGAAATAATAAAAGCAATATATCTGATACTGATGGAAATGTTTAGTGACCTGTTTTTTAATTGAAATTGAAGATAGGAAGGTTTTATTATAGTCTGTGTGCGCACCTGTAAGAATTTGAGATTAATGTAAAGTCCATGGTCTTATAGGCATCTTGAATTTGTTTTTCTACTTTATTATAAAACTTATGAAAACACTAAGAATAAGCATTTATTTTCCTCTTCAGCCTCTGCAGAGGATAGAAAACGAAGTGGAACTGTTAGGAGAACATCTTCCAGTCGGAAGTTTTACCTACCCTGCCTCAGCTCATCCCCCAACGTTGCCTCCATCGGCTCCTTTGCAGTTCTTGGCACATGACCCTTTGCATCAAGAGGTGTCCTTTGGAGTAGTAAGTTTCTATACATTGTTAGAAAGTTATAAATTGCTTTGACAACAGATTCTGTGTTATTTCAGCATTGAATTATTTCACAATTGAATTGTGAAAGCATTCAATTGGAAAATTATGTTTAGAAACATTCTTTAGATCTTCGTACTGATGGTTGCATCTGTGCCATTAATTTTAAGACATAAATAAATAATAAATACCACTGGAACAGTGAATTCTTCCTGCCCCACTTTTATCTCTGCAGCCTTACCCTCCATTTATGCCTCGGAGGCTCCCAGGCCGGAGCAGATACCGATCCCAGCAGCCGATCCCACCACCCCCTTACCATCCCAGCTTGCTGCCATATGTTCTGTAAGTCCTTTATTTCTTTCTATATCTTGAAGTTTCAAACTTGAGATTCTCTTTGCTATATAAATGTCGTATATTTGGTCTGTCACTTGGGATTTATTTTTGCTAAAGGGGTTGAAGTTGCTGTTAAGGAGCCACTTAAGGGTTAAAAAAAGTGAAAACACGGGGAAGAGTTGGGGATGTAGAAACATGTGAACTAAAAAAACAGGTTCAACAAAATAAGAGTTAAAAAGATTTTGGCCTCTTTTATGCTAGCATCATTTGCTGCCACTTGCCATCATCTTGATCCAGCTTTGGGGTAGACAAAGGAGAGAGTTTTTTAAGATTTATTTTATTTTTATTGGAAAGATGGATATACAGAGAGAGGAGAAACAGAGAGGACGATCTTCCATGCAATGATTCACTCCCCAGGCGGCCGCAACAGCTGGAGCTGAGCCAATCCAAAGCCAGGAGCCTCTTCCGGGTCTCCCACGCGGGTGCAGGGTCCCAAAGCCCTGGGCTGTCCTCGACTGCTTTCCCGGGCCACAGGCAGGGAGCTGGATGGGAAGCGGGGCTGCCGGATTAGAACTGGCGCCCATATGGGATCCCGGGGGGTGCAAGGTGAGGACCTTAACCACTGCGACATTATACCGGGCCCAGCATATATTATGGGCTGGAAACTGATCACGTGTCTGATCATGTTCTAGGGAAGAGGAGAATTATAGTCTCTATGCTAATAGGCCTTGTGCTTTCATGCTGCTTTGATAGTTTTATTTTTTCTGTCTGTGTCTGTAACTCTGCCTTTCAAATAAAAAAATCTTCCTTAAAATGCTTTTAGGGCCTTGCATGGTAGCCTGGTGGCTAAATCCTCGCCTTGCACATGCCAGGATTTCATATGGATGCTTTTTTATCCTGGCTGCTCTACTTCCCTTCCAGCTCCCTGCTTGTAGCCTGGCAAAGCAATCGAGGAAGGGCCCAGCGCAATAGCGTAGTGGTTAAAGTCCTCTCCTTACACGCACTGGGATATCCAATGTGGGTGCCAGTTTTAATCCTGGCAACCCTGCTTCCCATCCAGCTCCCTGCTTGTAGCCTGGGAAAGCAGTTGAGGATGGCCCAAAGCCTTGGGACCCTGCACCTAAGTGGGAAACCTGGAAAAAATTCCTGGCTCCTGGCTTCTGATTAGCTCAGCACCAGCTGTTGCACTCACTTGAGGAGTGAACCATCGGATGGAAGCTCTTCCTCTCTCTCTCCTCCTCTCTGTATATCCGCCTTTCCAATAAAAGTAAATAAATCTTTAAAAAAAAAAAAAACAGTCGAGGATGACCTAGAACCTTGGGATCCTGGACTCACATGGGAGACCTGAAAGAAACTACTGGCTCCAGATCAGCTCAGTTCTGGTCGTTGTGGCCACTTGGGGAGTGAACCAGCTGATGGAAGATCTTTCTCTCCATCTTTCTATAAATCTGACTTTGCAATAAAAATAAATAAGTCTTTTTTAAAAAATACTTTTTAACAGCTGAGGCTAGGCCAGGCTGTGTGCCAGGTCTACTCTGTGGGTGGCAGGAACCCAAACATTTGGGCTATCATCTCTTTCCATACACATCAGAAGGAAGCTCCTTCCTTGATCATTGCTGCTTTAAAGGGTTACCGCTGATTAACACAGGCTGTTCATCTTTGTGTTGGCCTCTGTCCCTTCTGTTCCCTGAGTTAATATGCTATGGGTTCTTTTTTTTTTTTTTTTTTGACTGCAGATCAATGCTACCAGTGCCACCTGCTGTGGGCCCAACTTTCAGCTTTGAATTGGATGTGGAAGATGGAGAAGTAGAAAATTATGAGGTTAGTAGATAAACTATAAATTTAATATGGGGAATATTGTGTACATAGACATATTTTTTGAAAAGATACTTCTTTCTCCGTTTTTTCATCTAATTAAATGTTAGATCCAAATTCTTCATTCATTTAACGTACACATGTCCTAAAAATGTGCGGAAACTTTAAGGATACTGGAATAATGGGTACCACCAAACTGACACAAGTTGGTAGATTTCCATGCTCTGTTAAAAAAATTTCAATTTATTTATTTGAAAGAGGTATAGAGAGTAAAGGAGAGCCAAAGATCTTCATTTTCTGACTGGCTCCCCCAAATGGTGGCAATAGCCGGATCCAAACCAGGCCCAAGATTGAAACCAGGGGATTCATCCAGATCTCCCACATGGGTGCAAGGGCCCATTCTCATTGGCAGGGAAGTGGAGCAGCATGGATTGATCAGGTGTCCATATGTGATGTTCACATCACAAGTGGCTGCTTAACCCACTGTTCCATCATGCTGTGGAAAAGCGGTCAAGGACAGCCCAAAGCCTTGGGACCCTGCACCCATGTGGGAGACCTGGAGGAAGCTCCTGGCTCCTGGCTTCGAATCGGCTCAACTCTGGCCATTGTGACTACTTAGGGAATGAGTCAGTGCACAGAAGATCTTCCTCTCTTTCTTCCTCTATGCGTATCTGACTTTCCAGTAAAAAATAAAATAAACCTTAAAAAAAAAGAGAAAGAATTGCATACAGTTTCATTAATAAAACGCAGATGACAATGGTGAGTTTTGCTAAGTTGTTCTGGAGAGAGTTTGTGCATGGTGCCCTTGCCTATCCTTGCAACCAACAATAGGAAAACATGCTTAACATCATTAACTATCAGGAAAATCTAAGTCAAATCATGAAGGCATAGCTGTCAATGTAATTGTTATCAAACAAGAGTGATTAAATGTTGATGAGGATGTGGAAAAAACTGGACTCTGTGCAGCCGCTATGGAAAACAGGCGTAATAGCTCACAGTAGCCAAGATACCGAAGAAGTCTAATTATCCACTGATGGATGAATGAATTGAAAAATTGTGTTTGTGTGTGTGTGTTTTGGAATATTCAGCCTTTTAAAAAGATACTGCCATTTACAACATCATAAATAAAGCTGGAAGTCATACCAACTGAAATAAGCCAGACATAGAAAGAAATGTACCTGTTGATCTCACTTAAATATATTAACTTTTTAAAAAGGAGACAAAGGGTAGAGCTGGATGTTTGGCCTCATTATTAAGACACCTAATGTCCCGTATTAACGTGCCTGGTTTAAAGCCTGAGCCTGGCGTCTGCCCTCACCTTGCATCTGACGCAGATTATGAGGCTGTTGAGGTGGCTCAAATGTCAGCTTCCTGCCTCGTATGTGAGAGACCTGGATCGAGCTTGTGGCTCTTAGGTTTGACCCAGGTCAGTCCTAGCCTTTGAACATTTGGGAAGTGCACAAGTGAGTGCAAGTTGTGTGTGTGTGTGTGTGTGTGTGTGTGTGTGTGTGTGTGTGTGTGTGTGTATTTGTGTTTAACGAAATGAATACATAGGGGCTGGTACGGTAGCTCAACAGGCTAATCTTATACATGCAAGCCCTGGCATACCATATGGGCACCAGTTCATGTCCTAGCTGAACCGCTTCCAATCCAGATCTCTGCTTATGGTCTGGGAAAGCAGTCGAGGACGGCCCAAAGCCATGGGACCCTGCACCCCTGTGGCATCGTTGGCCATTTCGCTCACTTGGGGAGTGAATCATCGGATGGAAGATGTTCCTCTCTGTCTCTCCTCCTTTCTGTATATCTGACTTTCCAATAAAAATAAAATAAATAGATAGATAAATCTCTTTTAAAAAGAGAGAGAACAGTGGCTAAAGGTTGTGAAGGGAGGGTGAAGAAATGAGGTCAGAGGCACAAATTTTCAGTAGTTTTGTAGGATGGATGAGACTGAGTGAAATGCAGCTGGCATACCACAGTTGATGCAGTGTGTCCTGCAGGTTGTCTGAGAGCAGGGAGAGTATTAGCAGGAAGCTCAGGTCAGGTGCAGGCCTTGACTAACCCAGGCACTCTGATGTGTGGGATGTGTGTGTCCTGAGCAGTTTTGACCCCTGTCTTCAACATTTGTTGTTGAAATAGAAGGTATGTAGGCCATCGTTTCTGTAATTTGCCATCATGTTGTATGTATGTCACTTTGCCATAGTAACAGCGTGTGGAATCCATTATATCTCATTTCCAGATTTCCTGAAAGGGACCATTATAACTTCCTGGTTTTCTTTCTGCACTGCTTATAGCAGTTACGTCAGAACAGTAAAAACATGAGTTGCTTTTCTTTTAGACATTCCACATGAAAATTGCTATGAAAGATGATTTTATACATGTAGATGGAAGATCAGTGATGTTGCAATACAAGAAAAATACTTTGTATTTGACTGCAGGATCCCTTTCTAAATTCTGTCTGGGGGTTGAATATTTTGATCGTCTGTTAAATCATACATTCATCCAATGAAAAAAATCTGAATTGCTTCTTCATTTTTACCTCATATTGAAGATTCTGTGACAGTTCTGAGGGCCTGGCTCACTCGAGGGTACTCAGTGCAACCACTCTCACCTTTTCAGTCGGCCTCTAGTTTTATCTTGGTGCCTTCATGCTGTTGATCCTTCTGCTAAAAACTTTCGTTCATTTCCATGTTTGGAAAACATGGGACAGTGACAGCGGAGCAGCATGTGACTTAATTGTCAAAATAAAGCTGTCCCCAAGACAGAGTTGTGATATTGTATTTAAAAAGTACTCGGGCCTTTCACTGCATTAATTATAAAAACTGGAAAAGTCGCATGTGTCCTGTCATTACCCTTCATTTGGGGTGTGTGTGTGATTTGTTCTCTTAGCCCTGTAGTAACCTGACAAATGAAGAAAGGGCAACCTGGTTGTGGGATAAAGCAAATGAGAATTTAGAATTTGTAAAATAGGGAGAAATAAAAGCAATAAGCATAATAATTAACATGCTCACTGATCAAGTAGTTGAAAGTAAACTTAAAAAGTTACTGTTTTTATCCTTAAATGTTTATTGATGCAGTGTTCTGTCAGTGGCTAATACTAATACAACAGAAATGAGCTTTATCATAGAAGTGGTCCAACCTAACAGTTTATTTATAGGACACGTGGGGCCAGAAAAATGAGTTCTACCACATGGATCAGAAGATCAGTAATGGTTGAGCACTAATTGTATGTTGGGTGTTAGTGTTTGAGGTAGCGTGATGCTCTGTGAGAAGGCTGTCCTTCAGAGCAGTGGTTTCTGGGGAGGTTCTCACTCTGCAGGAGAGTGTCTGCAGATGCTTTTGGGGATGGGAGGAGGTTGCTGCATCTAGCTGGGGATCCTGCCACCCATGCTGCAGTGCCTTGGGATAGCCCCACAGCGCAGATTCGCCCCGCTCAGAATGTCCCACCTGATGAGATATGTGAAGATGATGTTTTACATGTATATACACAGCTGTTTTCCCAAAGAAAACAGTAGGTATTTCAGAATAACGTGGAATTAACAGCCATGAATTGTGGAGCTTTTGTAATGATTCTTGTGCGTTCATTCCTTTGTCTACTTTTATCTATACATTGAAATGTTGTGTCCACGGCGAGATAAGAAGATGCCTTTTTCCTTTATAGGCCCTGTTAAACCTGGCAGAGCGACTGGGAGAGGCTAAGCCTCGAGGACTGACGAAAGCCGACATTGAACAACTTCCTTCCTACAGGTTCAATCCTAACAACCACCAGTCAGAACAGACCTTGTGAGTATATTTTCTGACATCTCTGTTCAATTTCCAGGTCTGCTTTGCTGAAGTAAGAGCTTGAGAGTTCAGGATTCCTTGACTCAGTTAGCTCTAGGTCCATGCTACTAGTCACATGGAAGTGACCTCAGAGCACACCTGTAGCCCCTGCCTCAAGTCCCTTGCCCTGCAGCCCACAGAAGAGAGCCAAGCCACCAGCAGTTCCATCTTCACAAGGTGGAAGCTGTTATTTTCTTCTAAAAGTTTAATCATGCCTCTATTTGCTGCAAGCAGTTTGATCCATTTTGATAATTTTTTAATGTGTGTGAGATACCTTCATTATTTTGACTAGCCTGTGATTAGTACTAGTAATGGTATACTGTCTTTTGTCTTAATATCGGTTTATTACTAAATAGCAGTTTCTTGATAATCTCAATAAAGGAAAGTACTCTTATTAAATGTTTTAATATTATGCTTTTTTTCATGGTACTGATAATTTAAGTGACATTTTAATAAATGAGAATGCTAGGTGGTTTTGTGGGCCTCAGTAATCCATAACAAAATAGAAAAACAACAAGATGTGATAGTTAAATGATTCCTTTGCTTTTTTGTTTTTCCAGGTGTGTAGTGTGCATGTGTGATTTTGAGTCAAGGCAGCTACTTAGAGTCTTACCCTGTAACCACGAGTTCCATGCCAAGTGTGTTGACAAATGGCTAAAGGTAAAGTGATAGCGTATGTAAAGGAAATGGCATTACTGTGTTTCCTGTTTTAGTGACAGTGAGTTCATTAGACTAGCCCATGGTTTAGTGCAGTGTGGGTATCTGAGACAAAATTGAAACAGCATTCAGAGGATGACGGCCGCAAATGGCAGAATGAAAGTTAACTGTTTTGACCATGATGGGTTGGTTATGCAGAACTAACAGGATGTCCTGGCTTCCTTACAGTAACAGGGACATGCTGGCTCTTAGAGTGTAGGATACCCCATGAGGCCCCTTGAAGTTTGTAGGGAAATAAACATGCTAGTGTTTTCATGTAACTGTGGTCGTTTTTTCCTTTATATACATCAAACAAGTCCAAAACACACATTTTGTAACATTGATAGTGCCAGGGTGAAATTGTTACAAGGTATTTTTTTAAATGTTACTTTTCATACTTTCTTAACAAATGGATACAGAATTTATTCTGTGTCATTTTAAAAAATGATTTGGAGACACACTAGCTTAGATAACCTTGCAGCTTGGCAAGAAAGATAACATTTAAATAAAACAGAATCAGATCTCTGAGAAAGGTACCTAACTTAGCTCACATTGAGACATGGAGAGTATTCGTTGTTTATTAAAAACAAGCATTAAATATACAAGTATGCTGACTGAAGAACAGAGACTAATCAGAAAATGTTTCATGTAGCTGATCATAGTGTAAAGGGAGTAGTAAGAGAAGTTCAGAAATCGAACCAGGTTATTGTGAAGTCACTCTGAATTGTGGAGATGTGGGGACTTGAAGGAAGGCTATAACTCAAATTGTCAAATTGTGAAATGTACAGATAGGGTAAACAGATTTGGTATGACAATTTGAAGAAACCAACAGCTAATTTGCAAGCTATTTTAATATGGAAATGAGGCTATTTGGATTATAGGAAGTCTGAGAGCAGGAGATGCTTTTATTCTTGCTTTCACAAATGCTGCTGCGGCTGTTGACATGGGGAAGGAGCAGGTCTAAGAGCCAGTGCAGCGGTAAGCATGTGCAGGTAGGAGTGGAGCTGGAGTGACCTGTTTTAGAATCAGGCTTTCCTGAGAACTGCTGGATGTTCCTGTTGGCCTGGAAAAGAGCCAGTTTTACCGGTAAAACATTACTCAGTTTACCCAAATTGGTGATGGAAAACGTTGTTCCTGTGGTTTAGCAGGCCGATTAAAACATGCATAGGCTATTAAATCCTTGTGATTTTTGGAATTTAAAAATGAATGATTGCTTTTTACCTGGTAAAACAGACTATGAAAGCTGCCTGGGAATTGGAAGTGATTCCATCGTGTTTAACTTGTTTCTGAGTCGCAGTCAGGATGAGTCTGTCCTTGTCTTTATTTTCAGGCAAACCGTACTTGCCCCATTTGCCGAGCTGACGCCTCAGAAGTGCATCGGGATTCCGAGTAACCAAGCTAAGAGCACAAGTGGAGTGTGGGGTTCCTCGTCACATGTACATACGGACTGTCCATGGAACTGACTGTGGCTTCCAGCCCTCCCTTTACCAAAAGGGTCAATGGACCTTTCTTTGCACTGTGTGACTTAATCAACTATAAAAGCTTACAATTAGTCTTCACAATTATGGGATTGTTATACTAACCGTGTGATTGGAACTCCAAAGACTTTCTTTAGCTTAATTTTGTGTGTGCACTAACATTCCCTGGTTTTTGTGTGATCATTCCGAGTGTTGCTGCAAGATTACAGTGGACGTGATCTTTTAGCATGTGCTTTTATAAAAAGTGGTAGCCCCAGATGATATAGCAATCTACCTTATATAGAGCCTTCAGAAACTGTGAGTGGAAATGAATGGAGTATGACTGCTGGTGACAAATGTATCTGTATATGTGAGAGAGTGTGTGCAACTACTTGTGTGAGGGCATGGTAGCTAATGTGTGTGTGAGATCCTATATACCAGCATGTACCAAGAATGTGTGTGTAGTTTTAATTATGCTGCAATGTATAATCTGGTGTGTTATTTAAACAGCACTAGTACTGTACACTGGTTTTCCCCTTGTGTTTGCTGTTGCACACTGATTGCTAAGGGTGCATCCATGGTAAGCCTTGAGTTCTCCCTCCCCTTCCTGCTCAGAGCGGGGTGAGGAAAGGCTTCTTCCTTTGCTTCAGGCAGCTGTCGCCTTCTCTACACTGGTGATCCCGGGTGGGTCACTTGAGAAAAACAATTGTCACAGATTCTCACTCCATAAACCCAATGTTTTCATTCTGTTGTGAAAAAGAAATTCTTAAGCCTCCTCCTTGCTGTTTCCAAAAAGAAGGTGCAATATCATACATCAGCAATTAGCAATATTAGCATTTCAATCAGTGATTTGAATGTTGATGCTTTCTTGTTTTACTTTCTGGTAAGCTTCTTACAGGAAGTACCTGTGTTTTGGGGGGTTTTTTGTTTTGTTTTTAATGTTTAGATTTGTGGTCTAAAGATATTTGAGTAATCTATTTCTGCAAATACGGCTGGTCTCCCCAAGGTTCTGCTTGACTTCCAGAACAGAATCTGTTACACACCTTGACTTGTGAATGTGTCCAGGCTCTCATAGGCAACTCAGTCATTGTTTTGTTTGTTTTTGTTCTTGTTTTTGTTTTACAAAAACTGAGACTGTTTCTGTTCGTGTTGATACCCCTGCCAGGCTCCGTCCCGAGCAGTGTCAGGTTGTCCTCAGTTACTTGTCATGAAGCCCTCGGTTCAGGCTGGACCACGTGCTGCGACAGCTTCTGCTCCTTAGGCCTCGTGCTTTTGCAGTTTATTTTTTTGTTTCAGTGAGAAAAATTTGATGCAAACAGGCATTCAGAATGCTTGCAGTATAAATTAAAATTTGATTTTTGTTTAAGAAATAATGCTCTCAAAACAGGAATTGACCTTTAGTTGACCTGAAAGAATACATAGCTGTGTGGATTTTTTAATCGATTCATACTTCAGATTGTTTAAAAGTCATTTTTCCAGGAATATTTCAATTGCTTTCTTCTCTTCCCGTGTCCAGCGTTGTCTGCCTGCTCCTGTGGCTGAGGTCTCTGCTGCCTTGCAGGAGCACAAGCTTCCTTCTCCCAGTCAGGGCCGTGAGCACTGGCGGCCAGCCTCCCTGCGCTCGGACAGTGTCAGCTCCTTGTCACTGCCACGCCGCTTGCCCTCCTTGAAGTCTCTTTAGAGAGTTCAGTAAAGTCAGCTCACACAGAAGCACAATTTTGCCCTTTTCCAGACACCGTTGCCTCTATCTAGTCAAACAAATAGGATTTTGCGTCCTTTCTGTTGGCCCTGAAGTTTGTCATTGTATCAGAATTCCATCTCAGCAGTGGTAATACGTGCACATTACTTTAGATCGTTAGGATAATCTCCCACCTGTTCCTGATGAATAGAAAACCATTAAAGACCAAAATTATTGCTGTAATAATTTCAGCTACATACAAATCACGTATAGTTTAACCTTTATTTTTTTTAATTAAAAAATCATGTTTTAAATGGCAAAAGCCCATCTTATAGACTTTTATATAGTTGCAAAAAATTTATATCTGTACAGAACATAACACTACTACACTCAGTATTCATTTTATTGAAGCATGCAGTTAAAGCACTTTTTCTAATTTATATAGAGATACCTGATTAACAAGGCACACTTGTACTAATGACTAGGAAAAGTAGCTTTTTCTTCCCTTCCTCAATGAATTTTTGTCATGTCCCTTTTCTAGTACGTTTTCGAGGCAATTGGCAATTTAGGAGGCAGCAGGACCTGTGTGGGCAGGAATCCTGAGGTACATTTTTGTGCTCTGCTGACCACCCTCTGTGCGCAGAGGCACTTGGGGGTGGGGGACGTGCAGATTCGCCTGCCAGCTTCCCCAGAGTTCGTGGGCATGTGTCCTGACCAGCTCAGACAAAAGAGAAAGGATAGTTGCCAGCTGTTGTCCTCTTGGGTGACAGGCAGGTGTTGTCTTGGTCCTCTTTCCTCCTCAAACAAATGCTGACTTCACCATCCTAACTGAGCTGTGGGTTTTTGTCGGCAGGAATAGGCATCATTGATTTGTTACCCTCAACACGGCGCACGCACACAAGCCTCCAGGTTCCAGATCTCGTTAGGATTCTCTGCAGATTTTTTTAGGAGGGTGGGGGAGCAAAATCTGGAAGATGTGGAAAGCATGTTTAGATTTTATACACTCTGAAATATGATTTGTTAAGATTCTTAAATTGGGGCCTCCTGTAATAATTTTGAATGAGATCTACCACCTCACGAGAATATTTTTCACAGATATCTTCAGGCCTTCATCAGAAAGCTGTGTCTCCCCCTGCTGGTACATTTAGTTACCTCATTTTGCTGTTTGTTTCAGATTATGAAAGCTCACAGGGGTGTTAGAATCATTTGCTGAGTCATTTCCTCAAATCATACTCCATTGTATCAGTTAAACATAGTTTTAAATGTATGTATTATATATCTGTAACCAAATCATTTGAAGGCTTGATAAATTTTTAACAAAGTTTGTACATTTTTTATGAAAGTTACTAGTAATGCTTTACTAAGTAGTGCAATGAATTTTTATTTTTAATCCCTGTGCCCAATTTTGGAGTTGAGAGGGTTGTTGGTAATAAATGTATGATGTACACTTCAAACGCTTGTGTGTCTCCTGTGTTAAAACGCCCAGCGAGCAGACGGCACTGGGCTGGGCAGCCAGCTGCCACATTCAGCTTTTGAGGCTGTGTTTCACTGTTCCTGTAAACATGAGAATACAAAGCAAGTAGCATTATGGCATGGTGTATGCATTTATATCATTTAAGAAGCCAAGAAAATGGCAGAGAACATAGCCACTTAGAGGGGAAGTCATAGTTAGACAATTACACTTGTTTCTGTTTAGGTGAGTTGTAGATGCAGGAAACAAGGTTATTATAATTGAGCACATTTGTTCACATTAACCGTAGTTAGATACCACTCATTGACAACATAAAGTAAATGGCCTGTTGTCCATCTGTGTTGGTATCATGGCGTTCCTTGGAGTTTCTACATGTACTGGTGCTGGTACACATGTGTTTAGAAAAGTAGCCAAGTCCTTATTTGCTCATTTTCCTAATACCTTTAGGACATGATCTGAGAAACCTTATACTTGTTTTCCTAGGGTATGGGCATTAATACTAGGTACTCGGGGCACTTGCCAGCAGGGAGGAGTCCGCAGCTGTGTCTGTAAATGCAGACTTTGTGGCCTTGCCACGTGGTGCAGATAAAATCGGCGATCTCTCTGGCATGTGATGGCTGCTCTGAATCTATGGTCACTCCCTGACAGAGATCTGTCCCAAAAAGCTTCTAGCCAACAGAGGTTCCTGCATGTCAGAATCGTGTCCTTGAAGATGTCGGATGTGGGTGCTAGGTTTAACCTGGCTCTAAGTAGGCTTTGGTAACGCTAATCCACAAACATTCCGAATGTGCTCGTGGACACTACCATCATTGCTTGATAAAGCCCTTGCATGATGGTATAAAATCCTCAATGTGATCGAAACACAGCTAAGCTTGACCGCTGACTGGATAGGCCATGGTATCTGACAGAAGGGTAGTTCACCATACACACTTTAAAGCTTCTTGTAGGGCCCGGTGGCGTGGCCTAGCGGCTAAAGTCCTTGCCTTGAACACGCCAGGATGCCATATGGGTGCCAGTTCTAATCCTGGCAGCTCTACTTCCCATCCAGCTCCCTGCTTGTGGCCTGGGAAAGCAGTCGAGAACGGCCCAAAGCCTTGGGACCCTGCACCCGTGTGGGAGACCCAGAAGAAGTTCCTGGCACAAGGATCTGGCCCATGCTCTGCTGCTTTCCCAGGTACATTAGCAGGGAGCTGGGTCCAAAGTGAAGCAGCTGGCATGCTAACTGGTGCTCAGATGGGATTACCAGCATTGCATGTGGCAGCTTAACCAGTTGCACGACATTGCTGGCCCCACACAAGAATTTTCAAAGCTGATTATTTAATGAGGCAGAGAGAGAACATTCTATAAATGGGGCTGGGTCAAGCTGAAGCCAGGAGCCAGAGACTTCTTCAGGGCTGCCATGTGGATGGCAGTAACCCACTGACGCCCAAGGGAACATTAGCAGGAGCCAGAAGCAGGAGAGGAGCTGGACTTACACCCAGGCACCTCAACATGCGATAAGGGTTTCCAAACGGCATCTTCAGCGCTATGTCAATCGCCCACGTCAGTGAAAATACACTATTACCCTCTTAGATGAAACATCCTAGGTCTATGAATATCCCTAGTGATGCATTACATAGAACATACGCCAAGGGGTGGTACTGTGACTCAGTGGATTAAGTCTGCCTGGGGTGCCAGCATCCAATATTGGAGTACCTGTTCAAGTCCCCCTGCTCTGCTTTGGATCCAGCTCACTGCTTACGTGACTGGGAAGGCAGCACCTGGTGGTCCAAGTCCTTGGGCCACTGGCACCCATGTGGATTAACTAGCTGGAATTCCATGCTCCTGACATATGTGGCCTTTGGAGAACGAACAAGCAGATGGAAGATCATTCTCTCTTACTTCCTCCCTCCCCGCTTTCAAATAAATAAATATTTTAAAGGAAAAAAAACTTAAATACACCCTCAAACATTTTCCCCATCCTGAAACATGTTTTGAACTTGCTTTCTAAATTAAACCAAAAGTTTTCAAAGCAGCAGTATTTCTACAAGACAAGCAGTTATGCACAACACGGACACCAGGTGGCGCTGTGGCGCAACTCAGTTCCAAACATCAGCCCCTTAATTAATACAGAAATGTGCCTTAATACAATTAGAAACCCACCCACCAGAACAGGATGGGCCCACTACAGCCCAAGGCTTCGTTCCTTCATGAACACGTGGATGATTTCCTACAATGTGTGGTTTCAAAAAGGTGGAATTGTTCTTGCTTCAAGTATGGCTGGCTGGGCCAGGTTGGGTGGCAGCACCCATCAGTGCGAGCTGGAACTGGGGGACAGACCGGCCAAACCAGGCTACAGCACCCACTGGCAAATGCCGAGGTGAGATGGACCATGCCAGCCTGGGCAGAAGCACAGCACTACCAGCACATGCAAGTCCTAGTGGGGTAGGGGAGTGCAAGCCTGATAGGAAGATGCGGGGACTCTCCTGCTGGGCCACTCCTGCTGGTTAGCATGAGAGCTGGGACTGGGGGCAGACCAGGCTGGGAAACGCTACAACATTGTTGGCCTGCATGTGAACTGGATTGTGGGAGAGCTAGACTGGGCTGACTGACTGTCCACTAGTGCAAGCCTGAGCCAGAATAAGGGCAAGCTGTTTGGGCTTTGCCGCAGCATCAGCTGGCAAGTGCCAGGACAGGGGCAGGTCCTGTTGAGCTGGACTGCAGAATCACCTGGAGAGTCCAAGATCCAGGACTGTGAGTGGGCCCAGTAGGAACTGTGGACACCCCTTTGATGGGCTGCAATTCCCACTGTGAGCAGGAAAACCAGGATGGGGGACAGGCCTGGCTAGACAGGTGGTGGCACCTGCTGGCATGATTGGACTGTATGGTGGAATCAGTTGAGATGAGTTAGATTTCAGGGCCCAATTATGTATACAACAGCTGAATGGGAGGTGGGACAAACTGGACCAGACTGCTGCACATGCTGGAAGACACAGAAACCAGGGCTGGGGCTAGCCCAGTGGGGGTTTTGTGGGCCGTTCTGACTGGACTGCAGCTCCCAGTGGTGTATGTGGGGGCCGATTGTGTGGAGGATGGCATTGGGCTGGGCCACAGCACCCATTCATTTGCCTGGGAGATGGGGCTGGAGTTGTATTTTATATTTTATTTTTTAATCTTTTTAATTTATTATTGTTGGGCCTGGCACGGTGGCGCAAGTGGTTAAGGCCCTCGCCTTGCACGCCCGGGATCCCATATGGGCGCCGGTTCTAATCCCGGCAGCCCCGCTTCCCTTCCAGCTCCCTGCCTGTGGCCTGGGAAAGCAGTCGAGGACGGCCCAAAGCTTTGGGACCCTGCACCCGTGCAGGAGACCCAGAGGAGGCTCCTGGCTTCGGACCGGCATAGCATCGACCATTGCGCTCACTTGGGGAGTGAATCATGGGACAGAAGATCTTCCTCTCTGTCTCTCCTCTCTGTATATCTGCCTTTCCAACAAAAATAAAATAAATCTTAAAAAAAAATTTATTATTGTTTTCATTTTATGATACAGTTTAAAGAAGCTCTTGGGATTTCCCTTATCCCCCCCACCTAGTACCCCTATATCATTACTAAAGTATAGTTCTTTGTTTGTTTTTTGGTTTTTTATTGCATTTAATTTTATAACAATGTTTCAGAGGTTCTGATGTTTGCCCTAAAGTATAGTTCTGCATACACAGTCATATGTCCCTCCTTGCGGGCATGGACAATGCAGAGTCCAGCATCCTATTGCCAAGATACAGCAAACAGTTTCATTGTAGTCCATCTTTGGAAGTAGAGATCATACTGCATTGTATCCTCACATCTGGATGTTAGTCTCCATTTGACGCTGCTGCACATCCCCTTAAATGAAAAGCCACAAAACAAAATCAACAACAGGAAGAAAAAAGAAATTAACAACACCATGAACTTATATAACATGCTACTGAATGACTAATGTGTCACTGAAGAAATGAAAAAGAAAATCAAGAACCTTCTTGCAGAAAATGATGCTACTGTATGATCTGTGAGTCAGTGAGGAATGTAATCAGAAGAAACGGCTTTGAAGAGATGAAACTAACAAAAACAACTAAAAAATCAAATTCCATGAGAGAGTTTCCGCTAATTTTTTAAAAAAGATTTATTTTCATTACAAAGTAAGATATACAGAGAGAAGAGACTGAGAGGAAGATCTTGCATCCAATGATTCACTTCCCAAGTGAGCGCAACGGCCGATGCTAGGCCGATCCGAAGCCAGGAGCCAGGAGCTTCTTCCAGGTCTCCCACACAGGGGCAGGGGCCCAAGGCTTTGGGCCGTCCTCGACTGCTTTCCCAGGCCACAAGCAGGGCGCTGGATGGGAAGTGGAGCTGCCAGGATTAGAACCAGTGCCTATATGGGATCCTGGCGCGTTCAAGGTGAAGACTTTAGCCTCTAGGCCACGGTGCTGGGCCCTCCGCTGATTTTTGTTGGTGAAATGTGTCTCTTCTAGACAAAAAATAGGTCTGTTTCATTTTTTTACCAAATTACCTGTTGTATTTTTAAAAGAATATATATACATATATAAATATATATTATAAATAAATAAAATAGATACGTATACATATATGCTTTCTCTGCTCTGCAGAGGGTCCCAGCAGGGATGTGCTCACCTTGTCCTCCTCCCCGCAGGCTATTGGGATCTTTGTCTCCTCCTCTTCAGCTTGCCCCGTAAGGCCAGGGCTGCCTGGGGTCTGTCCCCACTCCTTGTCTCCTCCG